GAATGAACACTTACATAGCATTCACCAGGTGCGGGGCACTGTTATAGACATGTACATGTGTTACTTCATTTATCCTTACAACAGAGTATCACAGAGCCCGCTTTGCAGGTGAGGAACTGAAGCGTAGAGAGGCTAAGTGGCTTGCTGAGGCAGACAGGAAGTGGTGGGGGACTAGAATGGGATGTAAACCCCTACTTCTAACCATCGTGTTGCCATCTGTTGTGAGCCTGTTTCAGGTCGGACGCTGTCTAGTAGCTGGTTACAGCAATGAACTAACAAAGTCTCCCTGCTTTAGATTAATAAAGACTTGAGAAATAAAATAACAAAACAGAAATAGACTCATAGACATAGAGAACAGGCCGGTGGTTGCCAAAGGGGTGGGGGGCAGGAGAGGGATGGACTGGGAGTCTGGGGCTGGTAGATGAAAGCTATTATATCTAGAATGGATAGACAACAAAGCCCTAATGTGTAGCACAGGGAACTATATTCAATATCCTTTGATAAACCATAATGGAAAAAGAATATTTTAAAAAACAATGTATTAAAAAAAAAGGCAATATATAAACCTTAACAGGTCCAAGTTTCTATAAAGAACAGTAAAAGTCATCTGTAGGATAACTGGGGAAATCTGAATATAAACTGAGTATCTACTATATTCAGGAATTACTGTTAATTTTGTTAGATGGGATAATGGTATTGTGGGTAAGGAGGAATGTGTTCGTTTTTAAAGATGTACGTAAAAGCATTAAGGGATGAAATGTCATTATATCTATATTTTAAAACATTTCGATAAAAAATAGGTGAAGCGAAACTGGTAAAGGTTAACACTTATTAAATCCAGGTGAAAGAAAAATAGTTATTAATACACTATTTTTGGTTTATTTGAATAGTTTCATACTAAGAAGGTTTTAAGAAGTCATAGAAAGGGAAAAGTAGTTTTTAAAGTATATTCTAATGAGAAGGCAGAGTTCACAATGCTTGTTGGTTTCTTGTAGGCATTCACTTTTCCCTACTTTACTCTATAAAATCCACCTGGTATTTCATTAGCAAAATTTTCCCACCCAATATTAAGTGAGATATAACCCACAGTGAAAATCTGTAAAGCAACCCTTTTTACCCTTTTTCCATCTTTGATCTCTCATCACATTATTCTTTATAATGACAGAAATCCTCAAAACTTTAGTTTTGATCAAATTTTGAAAATCATTCTTAATTAGACCCATATTCACAAAATTAAAGATCCTTCCCATCTTATACACAGATCTTGCATATTGCTGTATCGAATTAGATCACAATCTATATTTTTACATTCAATTGATAGAGTATCAATTTTATGGAATTCATTTGGAGAATAACTCTCAAGCAATGAGATCCAGTTATTTTCCCTGCTCTGTAAACATACGATTTGTATCATGCTTCTAAGTAGTTCCTTAGATTTAAACAATTTTAGTTCAGTTCAGTTCAGTCGCTCAGTCGTGTCCAACTCTCTGCGACCCCATGGACTGCAGCACGCCAGGCTTCCCTGTCAACTCCCGGAGTCTACTCAAACTCATATCCATCGCGTCGGTGATGCCATCCAATCACCTCATCCTCTGTCATCCCATTCTCCTCCTGCCCTCAATCTTTTCCAGCATCAGGGCCTTTTCCAATGTGTCAGTTCTTTACTCCAAAGTATTGGAGTTTCAGCTTCAGCATCAGTCCTTCCAATGAATATTCACACAGTAGGAAACCCTCTCACAGGTGGGTCTGTGGGGAGTTTTGGAATCTCAGAAGGCAACATAGCCGGGAAAAAAATAAAAAATCCACAGAATACACACCTAATCGCAACTGCAGAAAAGAGAACTTTCCCGCGAAAGGCTCTAACCTAACAACCTAACGTGCAGCCTGGCCCACTCACAGAACAAAGAATTGAGTGAATACCGAAAGAGAGCTAGCCGGTTAAACAGTTTAGGAACTTCTGTTTTGAAATTTGCCTTCAGACAGCTCGCCAGACACAACAAGAAAATCAAATACTCTCTTGGCCTATAAAGTTTTTCTCCTTCTCTTCCTCCCTCCTTCTTTTGTGTTTGCTATTTTAAACCCTTTCCTTGACTGCTATAAATATATGTGTGCCCACGGTGCCTAAAAGAAGGGTTGGGCTCATGTTGATTTGGAGCTAAGATACACTTTAAAGAAAAGGCACCAGAATACGGCTTTTTCAAATGTTACAGAAGAGTGATAATTCTTCATTGTGATTCTTAATTACAACTGAGCAACTCCAAATGATTTGTCATTTTAGTTTTTTCGTGTGAAATGGAATTCCGAAAACAATTTATTCACTTTGGAGAAAGAGCTTAAAGTAGCAACTGGGGTTTAACCTAGTTTAAAAGGTTGGCAGTGGGCAATTAAAGGTGGCGATATCCCAGCTGGATTTCACAACTACTCAATAATACAAGGTTTTGAGTTGGTGCAGTAGGCTTACAGAACAGCTGGCAAAACAGCAATGTTTGTCATTGACTTTACAATGCAAAATTAGGGCTATCTTTGTGTCAGCAGTTATGCATTTTTAAGCAGATGTCACTGATATTAGATATAAAACAACAATAGGGATCCAGGCCCTGGAGGTAAGTCAGGGTGGGAAGCAGTCCGTGCCTCTTTCTAAATGAAGCTCACCCCTGCTTGCAGTATTTAAAAGAACATGGGGCATATAATATCCCTTATCTTTATAATCATTTGCCAGGATTCAAAACTCTTTGAGGAAAGTAAATTTCTTATAGTTTTTTTTTTTTTTCTTTTTTTCCTGGAATAATATTAGTAACAGCAACTATGTGTTCTGAAATAGTCCTAATTTCATATATTTTATTTCATTGTCTTTATAACCTAGAGATCTCCAATTTTGTGTTTATGAACCATTCTGGCTCCCCTGAGATTCTTGGCAAAATAAAAATTTAATGAAAGCAGAGACTTAATAGTAACAAAGATGAGAAGTTTAAGTTCCATTTATGATAGCACTTTTTTTTTTTTCTCCCATGAGAGCCTTTATTATTACCTGGTCTTTTCTTACTGATGGTGTATCTCCATCACCCAAGAATGGGGACCTGGTCTGAATTGTTCCTCCCAGTGTGCCTCTAATAGTCCTTGGCACATAGTAAGCACTCCACAGATGGTAACTGAAGAAACCCAATGTGACAAGTCCAATTACAAAGACAGGAGTGAGCTGCTTTGAGAGTGCAAAGTGGAAGTCATACAAGAGTATCAGGATGTTAATCATAGTGTATTAGTTCAGGCTGTTGTATCTGAATGCCATAGACTGGAGGCTTATAAACAACAGAAGTTCCCCACTCTCGCCTCCTCCTCCTTTCAGCCTCTGGCAACCACCAATCTACTTTCTGTCTCTATGGATTTCTCTCTTCCTGTCTCTACTCCCACATTCACTGGAATATTCATTGGAAGGACTGATGCTGAAGCTGAACCTCCAATATTTTGGCCACCTGATGGGAACAGCTGACTCATTAGAAAAGACCCTGATGTTGGGAAAGATTGGAGGTGGTGGTTTCCAAATACTAGGGTGTGGGTGTGCACGTGAGCTTTGTGTTGCTCTGTGAAAACTGCTACACTGTGGTAAATCTTGGCATATTTGTCACACGGAGGAGGAAATGGCAACCCACTCCAGTATGCTTGCCTGTAAAATTCCATGGACAGAGATGCCTGGTGGCCTACAGCCCATGGGGTCCAAAGATTCAGATACAACTGAGAGACTGAGCATGCACAGATCTCTCTTAATGAAGGAAAAAAATGACAGTAAAAATGAAAAAGTGTGATGTCATCCACACAAGGAATATATATATAAACAAAATATATATAAAATACTATGAACAAAAGACTTGAAAGACAAGTGCTTAGGTATAACCCACAAAATAAAATCGGTCATTTGCAAAGGATTGTCATGATCTACACATATTAATTCAAATATTCCGTATTTTGCAAAAAAAAGTCATTTAAATTTTGTCATTCACTCCTCATATTTCTTTATGTCTTTGTTAATGTCCCCCTTTTATTTTTGCTATTTTATTTTTTTATAGCAAAACTGCTTTATGGCCAACGAGTCATGCAGCAAAAATGCTTGAGGCGAAAATAGTTGCGGCAAAGATGTCCACAGCAAAGATGTTTATGGGCAGAGTACCTGGAACTGATACAAGCAACTGTAAAAAGGGTGCCACATGATGGCTGCCCAACTCTGTGAATATAGTAAAAGTCACTTTTAAAAGGGAGAATTTTATGGGATATAAATTAAATCTCAATAAAACTATTGTTTTAAAAGGGGTATCACAGTGGTTAAGGGCACAGTCTGGATTCATGATCCTTGCTCTGATACCAGCTATGTTCTCTTTGCCCATCCAATATTTAACATTTCTGAATCTTCGTTTCTTTGTCGATAAAATGAAGATAATAATAATATCTCCTTCTAGGATTATTCTGAAGATTAAACAATTTAGCATCCCCAAAGCCTGAAAATAACACCTGGTACCCAGAAGAAGTGAGTTGTTATCACTTTGGGGGAGTCAGGGAGGGAACAGGAATTCAATTGAGAGCACACCCAAAAGGCAGAAACCTCTTGGGCTCTATTCCTTGCCACCTGGAAACTTAACCACAAAGAAAGCTCTTTTGTCACAGAAATTGACTATGCCATGAACATATCTGAAACAACAATGGCATGTTTTTCCATTTAGAACACAATTTCCTACCTTCACTCTTGGGGGTGGGGGGGGGAAGGTCTCTAACAGCTTTATGGAGATATAATTGATAAACCTTAAATTCACCCTTTCAAGGTATACAATCCAATGTTCAGTAGATTGCCAGAGTTGTGCAGCCGTCACCACTGTTTAATTCCAGGACACTTCATCACCCCCAAAGACACCTGACAACCATTAGAAGTCATTCCCCACTCTCCCCACCTCCTCCTTCCAGCCTCCGGGAACCACCAATCCACTTTCTGTCTCTACGGATTTCTCTCTTCCTACCTTTACTCTTGGAAAGGCACGTGGAAATGAACTGTGTTCCTTTTGGGGTTGCCAAAGTTTCCCCTCAGATTCCAGAGGGAAAATAAATGTTTTCTGATCAATTACAGCTGGGAACAACCTAAGTTTAAGAAAATAAAAATAAAATTTGCTATCCTTAAAGCTTCAAAATTGTAATTTAAAACAATGCTCCCTAGTTAAATTACATTTTATAGGAAATATTCTATTGGTAATTACAATAAATTTGACCAACTTTAGTATTTTTACCACTATAAAACTGCAGTTGTTTATTAAGCATAAGAACTTCCAAATCTGATAAGGACCAATATAGCATGAATAAAAAGCTATATCTCTGGCTGAGTTTATATGACTTATAATTGACAGAATTACTGCACTACAAAACATTTCTTGGTTAAGAAAATATAATATGCTGTATTTTGTTAAATAAAGTTAAGTAACAAGATAGCCAATGTTAAATATATTAAAAATGCTATTCCCTAAGCAGTTCATCCTTATATCTTTAAACTTCTGCTGTTCTATGTAATTGCAAAGACTTAAGGATCAAAGTCTTTAGAATTACACCTGGCTTCCCAGGTGGCGCTAGCAGTAAAGAACCCGCCTGCCAATGCAGGAGACCTGAGTCGCAGGTTTGATCCCTGCATTGAAAAGATCCCCTGGAGAAGGAAATGGCAACCCACTTTAGTATTCTTGCCTGGAGAATCCCATGGACACAGCAGCCTGGCGGGCTACAGTCTACAGGGTCACAACGGTTGGACTCAACCGAAGCGACTTACACTGAGGATAAAAAGTGTTAAAGATCTCCCTTGTTAAGCACTCAGGAGTTCCATGGGATAGCAATGCGCAAACAAAATAAAGTTATAAGAATGTGCATATATGTGTAATGTAGATCTTAAAATAAAGCAGGTTCTTTAAAATGGCTAACATAATTAAGGTCAATTAAACTCAACAACCAATGACTCAATTTCTTGATTCTATTGTGATGTCCACTTCTATAAAATTATCACTAAAAAGCAATTTATAGACTTCTGGTTTCATTTCAACATGTAAAGGGCTTGGAAGTTATCACTCCAACCTTCACAATAAGAAACGGCTGAAAAAACAGAAAAGCAACTCTTCTTAGATACATCAAAAAATTGAGGAAACTGCAGGGAAAGCTGCTGGCTTCAAAACTGGAAAAAGAAGTGGATAAAACCCAAGAAGTGGATAAAACCCAGAAACCTGCTGCTAGAGCCAGTACTGGAAGAACACTTAAATTCTAATCAACAAAGTACTGGAGTTCAGTACAGATTCACTCGAGAGTTAAAATCTCTGAGGGGCCAAGTCTTAGCACAGCCTATAATTTCACGAGTTTTACTTCTAGGAGCCCCACCTTATTTTCTCTGTGAATATCAGAGGAAAAACCCCTCCTGCTTCTAGCAGGGCAAAGAAAAGGAAGAGAAGCCATTTCAAAATACTCCAAGTTCTGTTCTTTGTTCTGTTCTATAATGAAGGCTTTGTCTCATGGAGAACTATTTTAACAAAGCCTTATCTGATCTGAAGGAGGGCAATTAACTAACTTCAGCCCCCTTTGGTCTTCCTGTCTCACCAAAGAGGGGAAAAAATGCTGAGAAAAATTTGTGAAGTGTCCAGGGGCACAGACGTTCCAGAAGACTGAGACCTAATCACAGGATTATTGAATGCTTCCCCCCAAAACACACTACATCCACTTCTGCAGACACAAGATTACAGATGAAAGAACTGCAAGGCTCAGATTCTACATAGGAAGGAGATTCTAGGGAAACACAAAGCCAATAGAGAGGCTAAAAACAAAGATAATTGGTGAAACTGAAGCCTCAGAAACCTACAGTTATAGCAGACGGCATAACTCCTGGCCAGAAAAATGCCTACTTACCTACCTGGTATTCTCTGTGTGGTTTATCAGCTGTCATTAATTTTGGAAAATTCTTAATATATTATAGAAAAACCTGCCCATTTTTTCCCACCCCCTCAGCAGCATTGAGTACTAGGGTGGCTTTATATGTTTTGCTAATTTGTTAGTTTTCTGTAACAAATTAGATCACAAACTTGTAATGGATCACAGCCTTGTCTAACTCAATGAAACTAAGAGCCATGCCATGTAGGGCCACCCAAGATGGACAGGTCATGGTGGAGTGTTTGGACAAAATGTGGTCCACTGGAGAAGGGAATGGCAAACCACTTCAGAATTCCTGCCTTGAGAACCCCATGAACAGTAGGAAAAGGCAAATTGATAGGATACTGAAAGAGGAACTCCCCAGGTCGGTAGGTGCCCAATATGCTATGGGAGATCAGTGGAGAAATAACTCCAGAAAGAATGAAGAGACGGAGCCAAAGCGAAAACAATGCCCAGGAGTGGATGTGACTGGTGATGGAAGTAAAGTCTGATGCTGTAAATAACAACATTGCATAGGAAGCTAGAATGTTAAGTCCATGAATCAGGGTAAATTGGAAGTGGTCAAACAGGAGATGGCAAGAGTGAACATTGACATTTTAGGGACCAGTGAACTAAAATGGACTGGATTGGGTGAATTTAATTCAGATGACCATTACATCTACTACTGTGGGCAAGAGTCCCTTAGAAGAAATGGAGTAGCCATCATAGTAAACAAAAGAGTCCAAAATCCAGTACTTGGGTGCAATCTGAGAAACGACAGAATGATCTCTGTTCGTATCCAAGACAAATCATTCAATATCACAGTAATCCAAGTCTATGCCCCAAGCCCTAAGGCTGAAGAAGCTGAAATTGAATGGTTCTATGAAGATCTATAAGACCTTCTATAACTAACACCCAAAAAAGATGTCCTTTTCATCATAGGGGAC